TCCTTTCCTTTTGTTTTTTATTTTGAATTTCAAATTAAATATTTTAGGATAATTTATGATTTGAACATAGCTTTCCTTGTTGTATGAAAATTTCTAGGAGGTAATTATGATTATGAAGATATTGTAAATCTGGTTGATTCTTGTATAAATGTTTTATCATTGCTCCAATTATAGTTAAAATAAATTCATATTATAATTTATGATTTTTAGAAGATTCAAAAAAATACCAAGGAAAATATTTTTTTTGCCAATAAAACTATGAGAATATCTTTTCAATGACAAAAAAAATCATGCTTTTTTTTAAATACAAAAAATAATAATTTACAATTAATTATTAGGAAATATAATAAAGTAAAAATTGGACAGTCGAATCTTAGAAAAACGTGTTGCAGCTTTCTGATCATGTATTTCTCAAAAAATGAGCTCATCTGTAATTTATGTATGTATGTATGTATGTATGTATGATTTGTTTACTGAGTTAGGCCTAGTATTACACTGAGCTGAGCTTTTGTTCAATATATATCTGCATTTATTTTTTGTCTATTGAGATGGGCTAGGTTTCAACTGTAAGTCCATATTTTATTGGGCCAGATATGGCTCTTTTAGAGCATTATAAATAAGGCTTGAAGCCCATGTAATGCACAAAATTTTTATTAAAAAAAGTCATTTGTGCCATGGGCTGGGTTAGAACTGTGATTCGATTTTCTCTTTTAATTTATCCATATGGTAGAACATCTCAGATAATTTAATTTTTTAAATGAGCAGGGAAAAAAAAATATTGGAATTGCGCTTTTAATATTATCAAGAAAAAGAATGTTGTCTTCATGATTATATTCTTTACCGTCAAATAAAAAAAATTGCTTTTATTCTATTAGAGTTTAGAGTTTAGTGCGTGGTGATAGGATAGTTTTTGTGGTTATAATTTTAAAAAAATACTTGTAAAAGAATATTTTTAATTTTACTTTTAAAAAATTTAGTTTAAGAAAATATATATTTAATTAAAATTTTTATGATATGGATCTTATAAAATAAATAAAAAATAAGTTCTTATAAATAAAAATAAGTTATTTTAGCTTTTACAAAACTAAGGTGTAAACACAATTATGTTCGGTGCAAAGATATAAAAAGTAGAAATTATTAGATTAATAAAAAAAATTTCTCAAAAAAAAATTAAAAAGTAATATCGATAAATTTTGAAGCAAGCAATATGTCCCTTGTTCATCCACACAATACAAGGCCAAGACCATACCTTTGCATATATATATATTGGGGGTTCCTCCAATGTGACGTTTTAATCTAGTGAAATAAGAAACTATGAAAGAAGTTTTATTTTATTTTGGGAAAACTTAAAGAATACTCTAAGTATGTATAGTTTGTATTAATTTTTCTATTAAATATATTTTTGTATTGATGTTATCCTTCTAATTCTGAAAATTTTCAATTAAATCGTTTTTATACAAATTTAATAGTATATTTCATCTAAATTTTTCTAATTCTGAAAATTTTCAATTAAATCTTTTTTATACAAATTTAAAAGTATATTTCATCTAAATTTTTTGTTTTTTAAATAATTTCATTGTGTGAGAAATAAAGAATTATGACATAATTAAGAAATTCAAATTATTTAAAGATAAAATTTAATTATAAAATATTTTAGAGGCTACCCCAATTAGTTGAGGTATATTTAAAGTTTTTGTTTTTATTTTTATTAAAAAAAAATCTTGTTAAGCACAAATAATTGAGATAACTTGAAAAAATCTACGTCGAGCAAAAGCCTATGAAATTCTTGGTTATCATATTTATTTGACATATTTGTTTTTTATTTGTATAATTTATTAACATAGTGAAAATATGTACAATAAAAGATGGAGAATTTCAATTTTCTTCTTCTTTTTTTTCTCTCCAAGTTTTCATCACACATAAGACCCATCTAGTAATTGAGCTTATGGATCGTTGAGTCATACTTAGGTTGTATAAAGGTAATATAAAATCACATTAAATTAATAAATCAATATAAATTAATAATTACATTCCCGTCAAGATTCTAATGATGAAACACTAATATTTTATTATAAAAAAAAATTAAATTCAAATTTTATAGTGCTATTTGTAACATCATATGAATTTAAATAAAAAATAAAAAAATTGATGTAGGAGGATTAATATGGAATATTATATGTTTTCTTAGTTATTTATATTTCTATTTGGTTTAAAAAATATTGTTGTTTGTATTGTTTTATCTTGTTCTTACCTAGTTTAAGAAATCAAATATTATTTATTTCTAGTTTATGAATCTCTGTAATTAATTTATAAATATTTTTTTATTTATTTTTTTATTGCCAAGCTTCTATTTAAGCAATATTAGTATTTTGATAAATTAATAAAGAGATTTGTTTTGTATTTATTTTGTGAGATACTATTCGTAATGGTAAGGTTATTAAAAAAACCCACTTTTAAATCCTGTGAAAAAAATAATGAGTTAATTTCTGAAGGTAAGGAAGATGTTGAATATGAACATTGTAAAAAAAATATTAATTCTTATATTGTTAGATATGTTATTATAAAATACACCACAACTAAGGAGTTATTGATACTTTGAGTGCAAAATAATAATACAAAATCTTGATAAAAATACACTTTTAAATATTAATCATGTTAATAAATCTTTAGCTAATTTTAAGAACACATTTTAGAGATATAAGTAAAGAGAACAACCTCTTGATTGAGATAAATATGATATTAAAAATGAAATTTTTGATAATCCTAGTTTTTTTACGGATTAAAATCCACCATCAAAACTAGATATGGAAGAAGGTCATGATGTCATTGAGCTTGAGGATTGCATAAATCTTATTTTTTATATATATATAAATAAGGATTTATAAGAATCTTATGATGAAAATAAAGAATTATTTGATACTCTAAAAAAATTCTTTAAAGCTAACCTTGAAAATATCAAAATTTTAAAAATTCATAGCAAAAAAAGAAACTAATGAGCCAACCTACTATTTCTTGCCAATAATCAAATATCCAAAGTTAACACTTGAATAATTTTAAGGAAGTTTTGTTATGGTTAATCAAGGTTTGTTGCTAAAAAAATAAGCATTTTAGTTGATATAAAGGATAAAAATATTGTGCTAGATTCTAAATTTAATATTTAGATAGAAGATTTATGTATGATAAGTGTAATAGAGAATGAAAAGGTTTTAAGTTAGCCAATAAAAAAATGTAATGTTTTAATTATTACGAACTATTTGAAGTATCTATACGAATATATTGTTTGTAAGTATGCTATTTTTAATAGAAAAATTGAGTATATAAAAGATTGAAAACTTTGTATATCTATCAGATCAAGACAAGAATAATTTATGTTACTTTATATACTCTATAGCAAATTAAAGGGTAATATGTAAAAGTGATTTTGTTTATGTACAAATATATTTATTATTAATAAAGACATTATTTATCTTTAATATTCATTTATATTTGATTAATAAGTCAAGAGTAAAGATAAATACACTCGAAAAAAGATTACCTCTAAAGGAAATTAAAAGTTGTTATAATCATGAGATTTTTATTGTATTAAAACATTGTTTCTAAATATTTCTAGTTAAAAGTTGTTATAATCATGAGATTTTTATTATATTAAAACATTATTTCTAAATATTTCTAGTTAATACTTTATTAAAATTGGATATTAATTAGAGTCATTAAGTCTGGTATTAGTACATATTATATTCTTTACTTTATACAAAAAATAATTATTCTCATAAATTGAAGTATAATAAATACCTAAAACTAACATGTAGGTATTTGTCAAATGGTATATACATTGAAGTAACTTGTATAAGGATTCCATATAAAAGGATTACTTATATATATGAAAAGAATCACATGATAATTTTATAACGTAATATTTTAACTTGAGTTCACTGAGTTATTTTATATAGAAAATGTTATATTTTGATCTGAGATACAAATTGTCCTAATTAATGGTAAGAAGCATACAAATATTAGGTATATTATAAAACATTTAAAGATATTTAAATAATTAAAACAAGATTCATTATTTAGGTAAATTAGTAAAAAAAATATATTTATTCTTAAATAGTACTAATTGTAAAATTTTTAACCAGGATAAAATAAGACTTGAGAATTATTTCAAATTTTATTCAAAGAATTAATAACTATAGCGCGAGAATAAATATAATTTGATAGATCATATACACTTTATATTGTAATATTTAAATAAAATTTTTTTAATAAAAAATAATAATTATATTAAAAAACTAGTCATTAAAAACATTAAATAAAATTTTATATAGCTCTTATATAACAACCATTCATTTTATTCTTATTTAAAACAAAGCATTGATTCATGAATCATGGAGATAACATGTATTTTTTTTAAATATCATTATCATATATCAATAGAAAAATGATAACTTTATTATTTCATTACATGAGCTTATAATCATGAAAGGACTTGCACAACATATATAAAATTAAAGCAAGAAAAATATTTTACCACCACCTATCAACCATGTTTGCATTGTTCCTTGCACTATTTCTTCAGAAAATTGCTCCTTTCACTTTCCAAATCGCCTTTTCTCTCCTGAAAACTGATGTCTAAGGTTTTTGTCTTTCATTCAAATTCTAAGCTGTTTCACAGTATCTTCTTTATAAAACTAAAAAAATTCCTCAAATCAGTTAGGCCCCACCATCAAGCTATTCCCTGACATGGCAACATCATCCATGATCATCAGACCCCAGAAATCACAAGCCGAGGCATCAAGATTCTTTTTGATGAAGAAGTAGCCGAACAAGTTTCCCAACATATAAAAAGAGGATAGATTAGCCAATCAAAATGCAGAAAATCCAAACTTCCCTATGGCAACACAGAAGAACCAAACTGCACCCACCTGGCTCTACCTCTCTCTACAACTGCACCCACCTGGCTCTACCTCTCTCTCTCTCTCTATAAATATCTCAGTATGGACATGTGTTTCCATCTCAGGGTTTTTTAAAAGAATAAAAAAAAAAACAGAAAGTTTGAATTTTTGAGTGAAAAACGCAATCTTTATCGTTGCCCAGATGACAAAATAAAGAGAAAAACAAAGGGACCCTTCAAAGTTATATACTTCTCTTTATGTCAACCTTGAAACGAGCCCCAGTGAACAGTAAGTCCATGTCTTCTCTCTCCGACGGTATTGATGGTTGTGGATTCAAGGTTAAATATCATTGATTGTGTTTGGTTTTTTGCAGTAGTTGATGATTAAGTTAATGTTAATTGCTTAGTTCAGTTTATGTTGAATTTATGGTTTCTGGGGGTTTGTTTGTTTTTTTTGAGTTTGATGTTCTTTTGCTATGTGTTCTTTTGTTATGCAGTGAAATTCTGTGAAGTGGGGTACTAAGGTTTGTGGACTTTGTCTTCAACTTTTCCTTAAAAGGGTTTGTGCCATTTTTAGTAGTTCTTTATTGAAAATATGGCATCATCACATAACAGTACACACACTGAGGCTGCAGAGATGGAACAAATTATCACTGAATTTTTCCCGAAGAGTCTTCAGATTATACTTGAGTCGAGGTCACCTTTCATGTCATCGCGTAATTATAGTGGTGAACAGATGGTATCCTTATCCCTATCTTCTTCGTCCTCCTCCTCGCCGAGTGTGAGGCCAAGAGATAAATGGTTCAATTTAGCTCTTAGGGAATGCCCGGCTGCTCTTGAGAATCTTGACCTTTGGCACCAAAGCTATTTGGAACCGATGATTGTTGATGTGATTTTGGTGCAGGTGCCACCAGTTCGGTGGGATCCTGTGAATTATTCCCCCCATAGGGAGCCTGTTAGGAATTTTTCGACCAAGGATCAGTATCCATTTCACTGGAATTCAGATCAGGAAGAATTAGGGTGTGAGGGTAAGATTGAAAAGATTGTAGAGAGGTGGGAAGTGCAGTATGAGGGTTGGAAGTCAAGGGATAGTGGTACTGGGAGCAGGAAACTTAGCAATACCTTCCAAACATGTTATAAGAAATCAATATTACTTTTCAGGTCTTTGTATGCAACTGTTAGGCTTTTACCTGCATATAAAATTTTCCGTGACCTCAATTCATCAGGGAAAATTCGTGCATACACACTTACACATAGGGTGTCTTCTTTTGTTGAGCCCTTTACACGCAAAGAAGAGGCTGAAATGCAGCGATTTGTGTTCACCCCGGTGGACACTTCCTGTGGTAGGCTTTGCCTTTCGGTGCTGTATCGCTCTTCATTATCAGATGTCAGCTCTGAGTCATCAATTCCTATGTCCCCCCAATTTATCCCAGATTATGTTGGGAGCCCTTTGGCAGAACCAGTGAAGAGATTCCCCTCTCTTCCTGTGTCGCAAGGTTCTCTGTCATCTTTGCCATTCTCAAGACAACATAGTTGGTACTATGACCATAATAAAGCCTCACCACCTTCATTTTCTTTCTCACCATCACCTAATCGCTCAGGAAAGCATGGATCAATATCTAATACTAGTTCCTGTCGATTCCAACCTTCGAGCTTGCCTCCTCATCCACCCGAAGTGCCTTCAGTTCATAAAAAGAATACGAGCTTTGATGAACATTATCCCTCTCCCAACTATGCACCATCTGCATCCCCACCACCACCCATCTATATTCCTGGGGGTCATCTTTCCACAGCTGTTCTACAATCTGAAAGTGCACCTGTTAGCATACCTGCTACCAAGCATGCTAGTTCTCCCCTGTTGTCCATCAAGCAAAACTTGCCCCCATCTCCACCACTCAAAGCTACCATATCTTGCAATCCGAAGACTGATGAAAGTACAGGTTTGGTTCACCCTGGTGCAACAGATGAGAAGGTATTATATATGCTCATAACAGTGGTCTTATGTTGCCAAGGCATTTGATCAATAGGATTCTTTGTCTACTGCAGTTGTTCTCTCCTGGGAAAGATGGCATTATAAAATATGCCAGCGTGAAAACACCATCCAACAGCTCTCCGTGGATTTCATTTTCCAGAACTTCCAGCAGGTAATATCAGGATGATTTTGATGATTCTGAGTTTTATTGTCTGTTGGATGTGGAATATGATGACATAATGGATCTACGTATGGAATATTGTTTAATTACTTCTAGCGCATTTAATTTTGGTTGGTGCTGGTATTACATTAAGGGTGTCTGACTCCCTCTGTTCTGCTGAATAAATTATCTTGCTGATGATATTTGAGGTGATGGACTCATTAGATGTTAAGCATATGTACATTGTAATAATGGAATAACAGAGTAATAGAGTTTCTAGTGAAAGAGTTGAGCTATCCTGCTTTCTGAGCCAAGCTTTAACGAATAGTATATCATGGTTCTTGCGGAGCATCCACAATACTTCTGATAGTATAGGGATTGAAGATCAGGGATACCATCAAATGTTTTGTCTGACACACTCATTTGACATCTTTAATAGCTAGTGCTTTAGGTATATATCCTCTCAGGATCAGAAGTTTGATGACAATCTGTGGTCTGAGATAAAAATCAAGTAAGGCTTATGTTTTTATGCGGTATCATAATGTCAGTGCTCATCAGCCTTGATACTTTCTTGTGGTTCATTTCTGCCATGATGGATTTTTAATTTCTTAAAGATTGTAATCTGCAGGATTACCAGTCAAAGTCTTTAGGACCTATTTAGGAAGGAACTCAGAATTTAACTAGTGCTTATTCAGGTTTTCTTCTTTATTAAGACTATTACTTAGTCTTACTTATCTACAAAATAATTAGCCAGGCTTATTATTCCTTTGGCTTTAGATTGCCCAATGGTTAAATTTGCCTTTCTATCAGGATCTGGTTTTCTTACTTTTTGTTTGCGTTCACACCCATAAATAGGACAATGGTTAGACATCAAGACAGAATAAACATCGGCAGACTAATTGAGTTTTCTAAGAATTGGCTCTCTTGGGCCTATTTACTACTTGAGTCAAATAATCTGATTGGATTGATGTTGAAACAGAGTCCATCAATTCACTACTTGAGCTTGTAAGGAAGGAGTTTGATATTTTTACATCAAAGCCTTTGCACTTGTCAAATAATCTGATTGGATTGATCATGGTGGTAGATAAGTCTGAAGAGATTGGTGTGAAGCTCTTTTGAAGATTATTGTAAAATTAAGAACTAGCAGTTAGAAACAGTATGCTGGAACCTTTATGCGCAACATGCAAAACATGCCATTGATCTAGTGTGTTCTTGATTTGGGCTGGTTAAAACTGACCCTTCAATGTACTTTCTGAGCCCAATTATGTGGAACTGTTATGAAAATTGTTTATTTAACCAATCTATACAACAAAAATTGCAATAAGGTTGGTTCTATCATGGTTAAATTGCTGTAAATCTGGGCAGAATGTGTTTTCCTTCATAAGACCTTGCTGCTTTAAAACAATATGCCCCAGGTTGACTGGCAGAAAATGTACAAGAACTGCAAGCAAGAAATGAATTCTGGTATTCGGTCCAAGCCGTTTGGTCATTCAACTTAATGTACTATTCGCATCTTGCAGACCCGAGACATCTGATAAAAAAGGCCATCTATCTGACCCGCTTGAGCCGGGAGGTCTCTTTCCGATTAAAAAATCCCAAGATGCAGCTGTTGGTGCCCTTGTACACACTTTGAAGAAACCCCCACCTTTATGCCAAGACTTCTCTGGTTCGGCTGATTTGCCACCAGATTCTAGGTCCAAAATGTGGAGCTGCAACCTCCAAGAATACAATCCAATCTCTGTAGCACCAGCAGGTCAGCAGGCTGCTGCGTCTGGTGTTGCATCTTCAGGTCTCATTGCTCCAAAAACAGCAGCTGATGCATTGGAAGAACTGAAAGGATACGAAGAAATGAAAGACTTGTTGCTTAGCCAAGCTGGCAGGTCCAACGCTTAAGCTAATTATGCATCAGCGCCACATCCTACTAGCAGCAGTTCAGCTGGATATTGAACTCGTGTTGATGATTGCACATCTGTACATAGTCTTGGTTTAAGAGGTTATTTCATGGTTTATAGGAATATACTTTATTGGCGCCCATATCCTTGTGTACGTGGTGACCTGAGATGACGACGACGATGACAACCGAGGTTAATGTAACAACAGTGATGCTGGTGTTCTTGCATTAACGCCAATTGGGCAGGCTGTCAGATAGCTTATATGGTGTTGTAGGGTCATTTTACTTTTAGGAGTATATAACTGAGGTTGGGTCTCATCTATGCTTGTTTTCGATGGACGGAAAGTTTCCTTCATGACTGGACGGGGAAAAATAAATAAATTCCTAACATGGAACGTGAATTATATATATATATTGGTCTGAAGATGTTAATATATTGAAATATATATTTATTTAAAAAATAAATATTTAATTGAAAATGTTCATATTTTGTTATACAAGTAACACGAACATTCTATATTTATAAGATTTACTTTTATAGTAAAAAAAATTAATTTACATTGATGGAATATTTTATTGGTATATCATTGATAGATTTATCAATAAAAATATATTATCAGTGAGTATCTTATCATATATTTAAATTCTTTAGTAATTTATTTGATGATTTAAATGACAAGAAATAGATTGATAAAATATTGTTGTCGGTGATGAAAATAGACACTAGCTATTTTTTGTCGGTTTATTCATTAGTAAATATTATCAATAGCAGTAATATATTAGGTTTTATTGATGGATTGTCCATTAGACTCACCTACAAACATATCATGTTGGCGAATCTACGAGTATATATCAAAATGGTTCATAACTTTCTATAATTCTCCAAAAAATTGAGCTTTTGTATAAATAAAATTACTGACAGAATATATTTGTTCATATATATATATATATATTTGAGATACTATCACACAACTTTACATTAAAAGACATTAAACGATATTGAATAACTAAATTAAATTGAAGAACACATTTTCTATTATTAATTTTACTATACAAATCAATTACAAATATCCATAGACATTGAAAAGTAGTTGAAGGTGGAGGTGGAGATGAAGGCGGAGGCAGAGGGGGAGGAAAATCTTTATGGAGATCTATACAAAAGAAGATAATGACTAGACAAGCATGTCAACATCTTATTCCAATGCTTTGTACTTCATTCTTTATATTTTGCCTTCATTTTGGCTCTCGGAGCACCAATTCATTCTTAAAGTATCTCATTAATAACTGATGATGGTTGCCTTGCGCTAGATTTTGGGGTGCCTTTTGCTGATATACTATAGCTCAACCTCATATCTCAAGCTTTAGTCATAGATATATTATAAACCCAATTTTTATTTTTAATTTATCAGTTGATCTATCCTCCAACCATAACTTTAGATCATATTTTGGATGGATTGAAGGGTCTTCTTTGTGTTTAGCATGCATGTCAACATTATATTATTCCTATATATATATAAAAAAGAGTTAAAGACATTGAAAAAAAAAAGTCTAAAAGATATACAAAAGGTTTCAAAATTTAACAAATATCTTGACTCAACTCTTCATAAACTATAGCACCCTTGTTTTGCACTTAAGTTATGTAGCCTAGAAAATAAATCATTATTAATTTTGAGTAATACTCATAATCACTAATATTGAAAAAAAATTAAAATAAAACATAGTCATGACACTTTGCATGGTTAATAAAAAAAATGACTTGTTAGTATGCTTGGTAATAGAATCGTGAGCCTTTTAAATTATGTTTGAGGACCCACTTCGTGACCACCTCCTAAATTTTTTTGATGTCAATGACTCTAGATATTTATACTAATTACTCTAAGTAATGTGGTAAGGTCTAAAATTCTTTCACCCCTCATAGTCATCTAACTTGACTATTTGCTTAAAATAGGTTTGTGTGGGTTATACTAGAAAGAACACAACTTGGTTTAGAAATTTGTTAAACTTTAAAGATATGATAATGAAAAGATTCCAATTTTACAAAAAAAACATTAATGTTAATAGGGGATTTCACTTGGAAAAGAAAATGTTCCATACTAAGATATTCAGGTCTGTAATCATATGTTTCAGTATATGAGATCCTTTAGCACTTAACAATGAGGCTCCATCCATTAGTATTACATAAAAGAAATCAACAATAGACACTAATATAATTAGAGTTGCGATCCCTAGTAAGATTAGTTCAAGATCATGGGATCCTTTTTTATCAGATAAAAAGGGTTATTGCATAAAATGTATTTTTAAGTAATTGCCATATAGATCCTATATCTATATATATGAAGATGAAATCATGTAATGAAGGGGATTCTTATTTGTACAAATGGTACTTCAAGCTTGGAATGAGCATGAAGAAATTAACGATACTTCTTTATTTTTTAAGTTATTTTATCGAATTAATTGCTCATGACCTTAGGTCTTTACCCGAACCCTATGAAAAAAATTAGATCACTTATTATGGATTTATTGAGAATGATTCTAATCTAGTTCATAGCCTATTAAAAATAGAAGACACTCTGGTTGGATTCTTATAGAGATAAAAAGATTGTAGTAAGCTTGATAATGATCGAGTGACATTCTTTATTCGATTCAAACCAAGGAATTCCTTAGAAATAATGCAAAATAGATCTTGTTCTATCATTGATTAGAGATTTTTCCATGAAAAATATGAATCAAAGTTTTAAAAAAGAAAAGTAAAAGTAATCCTTGACCTAGAACAAAGAAAGGAGGATTTATTCAATCTTATAGTTTGGGCTATTAGAATATAGAGCTCTTAGGGTTTTTTATTTGATTATATTGAAAGACCCAATTCATTGTGATTTTTCTAGTAGATTAGAGAGGCCATACCTAGATTTAATCATTATATTCCATCTTAAACTTTCTTTGTGGGTTTAGTTTTTGGAATTATTTTTCTTTTTTTTTTTGTTTTAAATAGTTTTTTTTAAAGATTATTTTTTTTCTCTCTTGGAACTTCATTTATCGCTCACAACTAACGGTATAAATCAAGTAAATATCAATCAATAATCATTTCCTTTAAGAAATTCTTAAAAGTAAGGTATAAATAAAACTAAAACTAAAAATAAATAAATAAATAAATAAATAAGATAAAAATAAAAGATGAATATAGCATTTTTTAAGAAGGATAATTAATTTGATTGTGCAACTCATGAAGAAGAAGAAGCTCTATTATTGCTGTCCATGACTTTGTTGCACAAGGACGTGTGTACAGTCTTGAACTTATACTCCAACTCAATAGGCTTTAGTAAGTTAAGCTCTTCGACAGAAGCATCCCACCATCCTCTTTTCTCATTCTCTATCAACTTTTTCTCTAGTTCTTGGCTCTTTTTCGTATCAGAATCTAGCTGTCTCGCCATCTCATTTCTTTTTTCTGCTAATTCTTGAATCCTTATATGCCTAAGTGCTTCCATAAGCTGCTGAGCGCCATCGCTATATGGCGAATCTCCGCCAAGAAAGTGATTAGTAACATATTCCATTGAAGGATGGGCAAAGGAAAAGGGTTTCCAGCAGGTGAAAATACAACAAACAAAATTCCAGCCCCTGTTAGAGTGACAAGCTCACTCACCTTTTTGTAGATTCTAGATCACCGTTTAGAAAATGCTACAAGCCTAACATCTTGATTTCCAATGCTCTTCATTTCCATCTTTTGGCAATATATAAATGAAAAGTTTGATATGGTGTATAAGACCTGTGCTTTAGCAGCAAGATACCCCAAATTAATTTAGAGGTTTTTCTGTAATAATTATTTTAAAAAATATTTTTTTGTTTGAAAATATATTAAAATATTATTTTTTAGATATTATTTTTAATATCAATATATCAAAATAATATGAAAATTAAAAAAATTAATTTGAAAAAAAATATAAATAATCTATAATCTATTTTTTAATGATTATTATCATGTTGTTTATTTTGTATTTTGATGTATAGTATTTTTCATTTAAAAATATATTAAAACCACTTGATATTAATTTAATATATTTTTAAATTAAATATGCTAATAAAACCCATTCAAACACAAAATTAAACCACGCCGGAGTTTCATTTAAAGAATTAAAACATTACCGTGGTGTTCTATTTTTAACTTTATTAATTATATTTCTATCTTTTATTTATTTCTTATGGGATTGGTGGCGATTTGTTCATTCAAAATAAAAAATTAAGCTTAATTTGTTATTTTGTTCGAAACATTTTCTATGTTTTGTGTGGTTCGAAAAAAAGGAAAAAAAAAAAAGTCGGTTCTCTGCAAAGAAATGGACTCTTTCAGGCTCCCTAAATTGAAAAGAGAGAACTAGTAAAGTTCGAGGGCCCAAATATGAATGGATGCACCTCACTCCTCCATTACTGTAAAGTTAAAGACTTTAAAAAAGGGCCCAAAATCACATACCTCAAGTCATATTTACTGGCGGAATTTTATTTTATTCATATTTTAACTGGTAAAAAAACTTAAATATCAATATTATATTCATTGGTTTTTAGTTATTTATATGTATATTCATTATTTAAGCAAGAATCCATGATTATATTTATATCAGCTTACTTCGAAATTGATTTTTATGATATTACGTGCCTCTAACATCAAATAATTCATTAGAGATGTGTTAATTAAGCTAATTACGAGGTTAGTGACTAAAATAATTTAAAAGATATTCAATGGATTAATTCAGAATATTTGAGTAAGAACAAGCTGGAAGACTTCTACTAGTGATGTTGGGTCAGATCTTAATTAATTTTGATCAATGCAAAGGAAAGAGCTAATCCTTGAAGGTTACGAAAATAATGGCAGCAATAGGGAAAGACGGCAATTTATGTTTCCTTGTGATCTTTCCACGCATGGCGAGGAAATATTATTTGGTTCCTTATTCTACAAAGATAAGAGGCAGCTTAGGAGTTCTATTTTCACAAGAAATCCTACTTTTTATTTTTATTTTTTTATTCTTTATATAGTAATGAAGAAATATTATTAGGATTCTAGGGCTATTAACGCGATGAAAAACTAAAAAATAATTGGAAAATTATCTTGATTAATTAAAAAAAAAAATAGATGATAATATTATAAACAAAATAGTTCATTCTAAAATTTTATTTGAGATTCTAAAAAGATTCAAATCAATATATATAAAATTAGCTTCAAAAGTCTTCAAGAGCGAGCAAGACGGTGGAGAATTAATTCAAAATTAAATCCCAATATAGCAATTAATCTTTAAAATCAATTTATTTTTAACTAGTTAAATATTCCATAACCTAACAAATAATTGTTCTACCATGAATTTTTTCACTTTCTAACATATACCGTTAAATACCTAATCAATTGAAAAACTTGTAGGATAAAATTTAAATATATATGCAATGTAGAAAAAAAGGACCACCCACTTTTGTTTCAATAATAAAAGGAAAACATTATCCTCATGCGGAATTCAATTTCATGAAATTCTCTTGCATGCAATTAGTTTAAAACAAGTAAAAAAATAAATAAAAATTCATTTTTAATGGGGCAATACCCTTACAAGGAGGAAGAAGATCCACCAGGCAATAGAACAACCCTACCGAAGCTAAAACAAGATTAGCAACTAAATTTATTTGTATTTGTTGTAATCTTCTTCTTACTTATCTTCCTATGTAAAGACAAAGTTGGCTGCTTTTCCTTAATTATCAAGGACAGATATATAGAAGTCAACATCTCTTATTTTCTTGATAAAGGGGTGAGAAAAGGTGAAGCTGAAACTTAATCACAAGGTTGAAGACAATCTCGTCAAGATAAAAGAACAAACATGGCCGTCAAGAATCATGCTCCATTTATTTTTAGGATAACATTTTCTTGATTTATTTTTTCATATTTCGTGTAAGATAGTCTAATTAAATGAAATACTGGGATAAATGCCAACATAGACTTCGATACACACTCGTTTTTGTGTTATATTTTATTTTTTAAAATGTTTTTTGAATTATTTATACTTTAAAAAATATTAAATTGATGCATTTTAAGTGTTTTGAATGATAATTTTTTTTTAATTTTTTAAATTATCATACATGATAATAATAAATATACATTTTATAAAAATTCATTATTTATATACAAATATTTTTGTTGTGACAAGCAAATAAACCATGTTGAAATTGATTGGAAGCTTGAGTTGCATATGACCATTAGTGGCCATATGCAACTCAAACTTGACAATTTCTTTGAAGTGATGTAAAATATTATTATTTTTGTTTATTTTTATATTTTAAAAATATTTTTTAAAAAGATAGAATTCTTTTTGTTTTATATTAATATATTTTTAATATTTTTAAATTATTTTAATATGTTAATATTAAAAATAATTTTTTTTGGAAAAACCAAGAAGCTCCTTGATTCCAGGATTTAAATTTTTATTTTTAAAAATATTTTTGTTGTTTCATTATACTTTTTAATTATTTATTATTTTTTATATTTAGTTAAATATTAAATTATCCATCAACTTACATTGTAATAACTAAAAAACCAATGTAAAAAAAATATAAAAATACCCCTTGAATTCATGTATATTTTTTTTCTTTCAATCTTTGTGAAATCATGATGAGAAAAATATTTATTTATCTATAGTCAATTGAGAAATGACAACTAAATCATGTCAAAAGACTTTATTGCCCTTAGAAGACAATGTAAAGTTTTTTATTTTTTTTTGTGGTGAAAAAACAAAAATATCATTGCATGTTCTAGTGAACAATACTTATGGATCTATAACTATATTTTCTTTCCAAGAAGTTTTATATTCTTTTAATAATATATCTTGAAATATCATATATTATTTTAGCATGTTATTAATTGGTTTTAGCCTTGTAACATTTAAAATAAAACACTAATAAGGATTTTACTTTTAGATTTTTCTTTATGGCTTGGAATATTTATGCAAAGAATAAAATGATAGATAAAAGAAGATTTGATAACATTTTCTTTAAGGTAAGAAATTTCTTCTAATAATATAAAAGCAGACAATTTGCATTACTTTTCATTAATATCTTTCATTGATCGACATTAACATGTATTAGGCAAGCTTACTAGATAAGGTATATAATATTGATAATTAACTTAGCAAGTAATGTTGGGGATTCAAATGTGAATATAAAGCCTCTCATATAGTCTCTTTTGACAGCATGCCAAAAAGGATCAAAGTTATTTCTCAACTGGAGTGCCCAATTAGAAAATACCAATTGTCTCTTGGATGAATTTTATGTACAACCAACTCATTTTCAATAATAATATAAATTATTTTTTACATTTTACTTAATAATTTAAAATTTGAATTGAGTTATAAGTTTAATATAATAGTAAAAACTTATTAATTAAACAGTTATAAATTTAAATTTTATCATTTAATTTTTATTTGGTAAAATTAATAGTAAAAAGGAAGCATCCAGCGGTGGGTACTTCCAGTTGTGACAGCTATGATGCTGATTTGTGAAGGGCTGTCCATGGTGGATGTCGTTGGTGCCTCCATACGGTGGGTTGGTCCAGCCTGGTGCTTGGGATTCAGGCTCTTAAATAAGGCGTTTTTTTACTTCACTGGGAGTGGTGGGAGCAGATTGGAATTTATTTTGACATTGATTTGGAGGACAAGTTTCTAAGAGTTTTTGTTTTTTGATGATCGGAACTGTGGGTAGCATGGTTGAGCAGCCATGTTTGCAGGCCAAGTAGAGGTTTAAGGAAAATAGTGGGTATTCGTACTGTTCTTGCTGTTGTTGGCAGTGGCAGTGCTATGCATGAGCTAGATTGATGATAATTCGAATGGTTTTTCGCGTTCTCCCTGACATATTGTATGCTGATTACTGCTTTGGATGCTTGTCTGATCTGAAATTCCATTTTGGTCAAGTATCAATGGTTCCATGGTTGAGCAACACCAACAGGATATAGCCATGCCTGGCAAGAAACAGTCACCTTGCCAGTGTCTTTTGTTCTTATATTCAGAGCCCTTGCCATGGTCGTTTCCTGTTGGATGCACAGAACAAGGTGAATTTGCAAGGATCTGCAGATTATACAAGGAAAAATAAGGTAAACTTGGCTTTAGAAAAGCTTTTGTTTTAATATTTTGTCTTAAACTTGCATCCATAAAAGCAACAGATTTCCTCTCTAAGAAAAGAAATTTGCAAATGTTTCTTATCATAGGTTAATACAGTGACACGAATGCAAAGATCTCCATTTATTTGCTGCTATTACAAGGACACGAACGGACTTATTTTTCTATGGAGAATAATTAAGTCCTGGCTAGATATGAAATGATTTATTTGTGCTATTACAGTGACATGAACTTACGCCCTTCTAAATCTGAAAGGAAATGCAGGGCCATCTTGTTGGGTGTGGACACAACATGGTTGGTGGCAGCCATATTAGACATGGCTAAAGTCAATGGTGGTTGCATGGTGGGCACCTAACCAAAGAAATTGTTGCCCACCATTGTTGACTAAAGAAGAAACTTGTCTCCCACATCAGCTATAAATAGAGAGTGCCATTGATAGCTGATGAGCACCACGAGATAGAGAGAAACACAGAGAGAGAGCTAAGGGTGAGAGTTGAGTTGAGTTGAGAAGTTTTCTCCTCCTCCTTGTTTTGTTGTTTGTATTGCTTTTGAGCTTGATTAATACAAACCAGTAGCTCCGTGGAGTAGGCAAGTTGCCGAACCACGTAAATTTGTGTGTATTTGAATGTTTGGATCTCCTAACAACTGGTATCAGAGCTTGTTCTTGAAAGTTCTTGAAAAAAGAGGGTGTTTGATCCAAACTCAAAAATCAAAGTTCTCAAAACGTGTTTTTGAACATACCACC